TTTGTTTACTTATTTTTAATTATAACGCTTTACTTCGCATCGAAAAAAGAAAAATTAATATTTTTTCACTACTCTCTATTTCTCTCTCTCTCTCCGATATTTCTAATGACTATATAAAGACTGAAAATATCCTTGCAAAATACAAACTATCACTCAATATTGATTATTGCATTTAATACAAACCAATATAATGATTAATAACAAGACTCTGGTATACATCTTGGTATTCATGGTTGTATGCTCAACCATGTGTAAGGCTTACTCCATCAATAATGATTTTGACGAAGATAACTCCCTCGATACAAGTGACGAATTTATCAAGCGAGTACTCCAGGCATATGAAGAAAAGCGTGGTACTAAAAAAACTGGTAAAAAAACTCCTGCAAGTTGTGTTAATCCTCTTACTTGTGGTGGTACGACTGGTCTTAAGTGTGTTTGTCCTAACACTTATTGTCGTGATGGTGGTCGTACTGGTCGTTATTGTGCGTCAAGTTATTGGTAAGCATGTTTTTTAAGACTGCTCATTTATTTATTTAAAATCTTTGTTTTCTTTGTAGAAACGACAAATGGCACTTACTGGCATACAAAATCCAAATCATTGACATTTTTTTATTCTTTAGTTAGTTCCTTGCTTTTCATCTACTATTTGCTTCTTTTTTTTATATTTTCTCTTTGTTTTTTAAATTCAAATAAACTAGCTAGAAATACCTCTTATTTACTGTCTTTTTTTAAAATAACACAAGATATTATTAGAACGCGATGCATAAAAGAAATCGTTTAATATGATTGCTTACAGTTGAATTCGATATCAAATAAAAAAAAATAAAGATTGAAACTACTGTATTCATTCAAGCATGACGTTTGTCTATACTCTTGGTTGAGAGTAGAAAAAAATTGCACACGTTGTGCAGACAGAAGGAGAACAGAAAAGAAAAGAAAAGAAAAGAAAAGAAGACTATAGATAGTAAAGGTGATATGTGATGATGACTAAGCATTAATGGCTTGTGTACACTAGTATACAAAATTGTTTAATGCAAAAATGAAAATAAATTAGATATAAATGAGAAACAGCAAGTAATTTTTACTTGAAAACTATTGTTTTATTTATCAGCTACTTCGCTGATCCACTTGTTCACCAATCAGAATACTCATCAGTTCAGGGTTGAGAATATTTTTTTAACCAGACACACACACAAACTCATTTTTATTTTTTTCTTATCACCCTCCTTACAGTCTAATAGAGCAGAAATCGTTAATTCATTACAAGTTTTAAACGTCTAGATTTGTTTCCCCTTTCGGGTTATTATTGTATCATCGACTTTGTTTTGTCGCATTTCTCTCCTTCGAAATTAGCTTCTTCTTACGTCTTCTATTTATATATCTGCATAATAGTCATAGAAATTATTTTTGATGAAAGAATAAATTCATAATAAGATCGAATGACTTTTGTTTATGATTAAATTGTAATAAATATTTAATTTCGATAATTAATAAAAATGTAAATAATATTTTTCACAATTATTTTATTAAAATATAAATGTAAAAGCTAATAATTTTTTAATAAAAAAATAGAGTTATTTAATTGAGTATTTGTTTACCTCTTTGAACAAGATCCATTCGATACAAAATAAAATCCTAAATAAAAAAGTAAAATTAAAAAGCAGAAAATAAAAAGAATTTGTAATAACCTGAACAGTTTTTAATTTTTGTGAAAAAGTATAATCTTCTGTTAATTTTGTTTGATGAGAAAGTCGATAATGTTCAAAAAGATAATTAATACATGCTTCAACTTGACTTATAATTGTTGTCTATTTTTAAAATTCAATATTTCAGTTTTATTTTAATGAAAGAAAAAACAAAATTTTACTCTCGATCTTTGTAAATCCATTTGATTAATAAGTTTTTGTTCTAAATTAATTGATTCTTTTTCAAGATCTTCTAATTTATCATATAATTGTGCAACATGTGTACTTAATTTTGCTGTACGAATATTATGGTCAATAAGAAATTGAGAAAATTCTTTTTGACATTTGATTTTCTGTAATTACGAAAAAAAGTTTTTTGTCAAATTAAATTAAAAGAAAAACCTCTTTTTGATAATCTCTTTTTTCGAATTTTTTTCTTGATTCATTTAATGTTTCATATCTTGATATTAAACTTTTAACACCACTAGACTCTTTTTGTAATAAACCTATTCATATAAATACCTTTTAAAAAACTGAAAAATTTATAAATCTATATAAACCAGATGGAAATAATCGAATAGTTTTTTCAATAAGATTAACAATATGTAAATAATGTTGTCTTTCTTCATCAAATTCACGAACTCTATTGAATATTTTTATAGGTTTTTAATCATGAAATAAAATACAAACTTTTTATTAAGTATATTAACTTCTTGTTTAAGTTGATCAGCTTCAAGTCTTTTTAAAAGATAATCTTTTAATTCAATTTGATATCGACGAATACTTGTACGTCGTTTAGAATCTAAATCATCGAGAAATTTTTGAAATTTGGAATATTGTTTATCATGCTAAAGAAAAATTCTTTTTTTTTTCATTATTTCAAATAAAATATTCAAACTTTATCGTATATTGATAATAGAGAAAGTTTTTTTCTTGAACAACTCATAAGACGTTGATGACAGTGTTGACGAGCTGATAAAAATTCTTGATTCATATCTTCATTATGAATTGATATTGTTGATGGAGTTAATGATCGACATTCATCATATGATATTGATAAATCACTTATACTTTTACTTCTTGAATCTCTTCTATCGATTTCTTTTATATATACTTTAGCATTTTCTAATAATTTTCGATAAAAAAATGCACGAGATTCTTCTTTTTCATCTACATTTTCGATTTCCATCTAGAATATATAGTTAGATTTTATTTACATTTAATATCTATCAACAAAAAGAACAGTATGTGTTTGAATATTAGCTTGTAAAAGTGTTAAATTTAAATCTTTAAATTGTCTTTTTGGAACATCACCACTACTAAGATAAAT